ATTACATAATTTTGTAATATATATATTTTTAATAAAATAATATAGATAGACTAATTTTACAATAACAACGAATAAATGAAACTGTTTATTAAACAATTTTTTTCCCGTTTTTTCGTGCGAATTTTTCTTATTATAATATCCTATTTATTTATTGTATATACAAATAAATCTATCATGACTTTGCATACTATTATATTATATTAAAGATTTATTTTCAATAAAAAATTAGTATCAACCATTAAATTAACTATGAGACTGGATTATAATAATTATTTTATCTAACATATTGAGAAATATCATTTTTTTCCCACTCAAGACAAACACATTTTAATATGTGTATTGATATTGTGGAAAATTAACATACATTGTATAACTATGATGCGATTGAAACAATTTTATTATATGAGCTTTTTTGCGTATCTTTTCAAATAAATCTTGCTTAACAACTAATTTTTACAAACACTTTTATCATATCAGCTAGATTTTCAGTTGTAAGCCATAATCTATTAACCGTGAGCTCGAAATTCATTATAAGATATCAACTAACTTATCAACTAGCTTATCAGTTAGTTTTATCAAACATAGGCGTAGACTAATTATTTCGATAATACATAATGATTGTATACAATCATGATATTAGGAACTAATTTACCAAATAATACGGAAATTTTATTTATAAAAATGATTCAAAAGTTACATAAATAAATATATCAGATAATCAGCTTTTAAAATTTATATTCTCAAACATTTTTGCTATTTTTTTCCAAACTAGTATGCATTAATGTGGTGGATTTCATGTTCAACTACTTTTGGTAAATATTAATTTATATCTATACTTATATTAAAAGCCATACTATTTACCAAAAATAGTAGCAAAAAAAGTCAACTCACATTTAATGCATACTTTATATAGAAATTTTTTACTATATGCATTAATTGCTTGCATATATACATTTCCTATTCAAATATGATCAATAAGATTCTTTCATTAAATAATTTTATTAACTTCTGCAATGATTTTAATGATATATATTATAATTCATATTTGTCGATAGTATTTTTTTATTTTTATTTGAGTATATAAAAAACAAATATTTTTTAAAATTAATATTTTATTCATCATTTAAGAGATAATGATCACATCATTAAATGATATTACTGTGGCTAGATAATAAATATAAATATATTAATTATTCTTTAAAATTTTGGCATGTTATTTATTTGTATATATACTTATTATATAAGGTATCCTATTTATCAAATTTAGTAGACTGAAAAGGCAACGTAATTAATGCATTGCTATTTTTATCCAGAATTTTATTTAATTATTTTATTTATTTGTCTTATATCCCATAAAATCAGTTTAAGAAAAAAAAAAATCCCATAACATCTGACAAGTAAAAAAAAGACGTAAAATATTTACTAAAATAAAAAGACTATTTATTTGTCTTATTCCATATTAACATCGATTTTGTCAAAATAAATCCCATAAAATCAGTGAAGTCAAAATTTGTACGTAAAGTCTATCTATCAAAAAAAAAAAAAAGTCAGATTCAAAATTCCTTATCTAATTCCTTTTTTTTCTTATCTAATTCCTTATTTTCTTTATCTAATTCCTTTTTATTATCTAATTGTATGAAAAATTGTTCTAATTTTGTCAATCCTCTAATTGTATTTGTATTATATTTCATAAAATCAGTTTAACAAAAAAAAAAAAAATCCCATAACATCCGATAAGTAAAAAAACAAAGTACGTAATATCATTACTAAAATAAAAAAAGCTTTATTTATTATCTAATTGTATGAAAATCTGTTTTTGATTTTATGGTACGTACTACAAATTGTTCACCCGTGTTCAGGAGCTACTTAACGGGCAAACTCTGTGGAAAAGACTCATTTAGTGCTTATGTCCCGTGCATACAATATGTAGTTTTATTATACATACGCGAAAATTGTGCACACCGTGCATCGCACGAGCTCTGTACTAATAAATGACTTTAAAATTGTGTACCCCGTGCATCACCCGTGTTCACATTTTGGCCTATTACAGGTTACGTACTATATATATCCCGTACATTTTTTTTATTAATTTATATAAATATAAGAATAGATAAATGACCTTAAAATTGTGCACCCCGTGCATCGCACGGGCTCTGTACTAGTATATATTGAAAGCCAACATATTTATCAAAAACAGTAGCAAGAAAAAGTCAACACACATTTAATGCATACTTTATTTGGAAATTTTTTACTATATGCATTAAATGTTTGCATATTTACATTTACTATCCAAATATGATCTTAAAGATTTTTTCCTTAAATAATTTATGCAATGATTTTACTGATATCCATTATAATTAATTTTTGTCGAGTAATATTTTTTAACCTTTATTTAATTATATAACACTAATATTTTTTTAAAAAATTAATATTATTTAAAAGATAATGATCACATCATTAAATGATTTTATTGATGGTTAGATAATAAAATTATAGTTATTCTTTAAAATTTCGACATGTTATTTATTTGTATATTATTGTCAACTATGATAGTGTTTTTATCACTTTTTTTTTGTTATGTAAAAAAATGAACTTATTGTAAAATATTTTTTTATTGCATAGTATGTTAAATAAACTATAAAGCCTTAGGATGAAAATTAGAAAAAATCTCTTAATTATGTAAGAGATTTATTTTTTGGCAATTGCTAAATAATTTTTTTTTTTAAAAAAAAAAGAATTATTATGAGAAAATTGAATTCTAAAAAACATGTGTGTGTATTTTGTAAACATTTATACTGAAAATTTTATTTTGAATTTCATTACATAAAGAAGACTACTTCTATAACTTTTATAAATAATAATAATTACATTATATGACTGCAAATTTTATAATAAAATAATAATTGAGTATTATATGGTGAACAATAATTAATAAAATTTTTATTTTTTTTCTATATCAATGAATAAATATGTATTCTAAAATCAAATAAATATTAGTATGACGTGTTAGCAGAATTATATATTAATTAATATGTTAATTTTTTGACTTAAATAAACGCCACTTATTAAAAGATGTGAAATATGGATGATCCAAGCCTATTGTTTTTTGTCTAGACGTACAAGTCCTATAGAAATAATTGATTTATTATATGTATCACGTGCATCGCACGGGGTATGCACTAATAAATGACCTTAAAATTGTGCACCCCGTGCATTACCCGTGTTCACATTTTGGCCTATTACAGGTCACGTATTATATATATCCCGTAAATTTTTTTTATTCATTTATATAATTATAAGAATGAATAAATAACCTTAAAATTGTGCAACCCATGCATCGCACGGTCTCTGTACTAGTCTCTTTTTTTTGGTATAGGGACCTTCCGGTTTCCGGATCCACATGGGAACCGACTAATCCGGAATCGAGCCGGGTAGGACCACAAGGGAGGCAAAGCTCTCCCTCAAGAGTTTTAACACTGCTGCATTCACAGGGCTCGAACACGAGACCACTGCTTAAGCTGGAAGAGACCCAAACCATCTCATCCAAGCGCTCTTGGGTTCTGTACTAGTCTCTTTATATATACTGATTAAATTCGGGTGCTTGGATAGTTCATATTGATTTGGAATGTCCTCCATGTCTATATAAGGACTTTTAAAAATATAAAATACTTGACCAATTTAAATCCCCCTATATATTAATCTTGACCAATTTAAATCCCCCTATATATTAATCCAGAACGCGCTGAGCACTGCTTCTGGTACTTCGAAATCCTATTAGGCTTGGGTAAATTTTAATTTAATTCCAAACCAAAAATAATTAGGTTCGAATTACCATAAATATGTTGATGATTTATGGTCGTGTTACATGTATTAATTGCATTTTAATATAATTTTTTATTATAACTATTGAATTGTATATATATTTTAAAAGTTAATAACTTTTGTATTTTTTTATCAGTGTTACATATGTAATATATCAAATTAATCTTCTTTTGATGAGCTTCGATTTAACATCCATATTGTATGTATAAAAAAAAATTATATTTATCTTTATAACAATAATAAAATTATTTCTAATATTAATTTAAAAAATAAAATTATTTATCAACTAATATATTTATATTTCAAGTAGTTATGTGATATAAGTTATAAAAACTAATATAATATAACACATGTAAGTCATAAGTAACACATATCATTCTAAAATATATAGTAATTTTTTTTTTTTTTTGTAAAAAATTAAACTAAATTTTAATATAGTTTTCTTATTAATTTTAAAATTTAAGAATAATTTTTTAACAAGCACCCGTGTAATACATGGGTGTTGTACTAGTTATAATTATACTTTAAACGTAAATAACTTTCTTTATCAATTTATATATCAAAATACTCATTTTTTAAACGAGGTTAGATATGACATCCATATTGTTGTATAAATAAATAATTATACTTACACTTATAGTAAAACTTAAATTATCTATTTATAATAATAAAAAAATCAAATTATTTATTAATTTTTAATCATATTTATTCTATGATACAAATTAAAAAAAATTATAATATAGGATGACTATTTCCTACAAGTGAAGTATAATATTTTAAATATAAGTAATAATGAAAATTTCTAAAATTATATTTTTTTTTTCAATTTATATATGCATA